TATTTTTTTTAGTAGAACTAAGAGGTTAATTTTTTTTATTATATTAAAAAAGATAATTTTTAGTGTAGATGTGCAAAGGAAAACTTTTTATTAGTTTTATGGGAAAACTTCAAAAAAAATCCTATGAGTTTTCTCATTTATCACTTACCCCTTACAAATTTTTTGAATTATTTATACCCGTATTTTTTTTTTATCATTTACCCCCCTAAGTGAGGTGGGTAAATGATAAAAAAAACTTTAAGTCAGGAGGATAAATGATTCAAAATTTTAGGAAAGAGGTAAATAATCATGAGAAAACTTACAGAGCTTTTTTTGAAGTCTTTCCTAATTTTATTTGGCAATTATTTTCCTTATGTGATATTGGTAAAAAGCTTGATTAGCTCATACGAATTGGAAATATGATATCAATAAAAAAATACATATCCAAAATAAAATATATTGTTTGGTTCACGTTGTAATGTGTTCATTATTTTGTGTTTGATCTATGTTCAATATTATTATCTTTATCGTTGTATGATTTATAAAATTTGAAATATTTTTATTTTTTTTAAAAAAAAATCATATATTTAGCCACAATCATAAATGTGACAAAGAAAAGCTTCTGGACATTTTTAGTCACATTTTCCTATTTTGATTAGGGGTGTAAATGGGCTGGGCTGGGCTTTAGCTTTCCTGGCCCAAGCCTACGTAAAAAAAAAATCAGTTTATCTGGCCTACTAGCCTATTAAAAGCTTTATTTGTAGGCCAAACTCGACCTATTTGTAAAAATAAGAAAATCTGACATGGCCTACAAGCCTTGTAGGCCTACCACTGTAGATACTAAGCAAAGAAAATAATTGTATAGAGCAAAGAAAGTTTCATTCATGCATGCACTAGTACTTCTCATAAGAAAAAAATAACAAACAAGAAAGAGTCAACATAATACCCCAGCTCTAGAATGTATATCATAGATGAATAAAGTCAAAGAAATGGGGAAAATAAGAAAAATACAATTATTGGGTGCTAAAATAAAGTCTACAAGAGAATGTCATTCATCTAAAAATTAGGGTTGGTATTGGTACTTTGCCATGCCACATAAAATAAATATTATTTTATTATTTTATTTTTAATAAGTTAAATATGCCAGCCTACAAGGCTTTGAGCCAGACTTGACAAAATTGCCTACGGCCTATTTGTTAAAAAGACTTTCTTAAAAGTCTAAGTCTACTCTACTTTTCTGAAAGGTCGGGTCAAGCCAAGCTTAATGTAGCCCGGGCTAGGCAGCCTGACCCATTTACACCCTTAATTGTGATGAACTAAAAAATTTAGCCACACTTATAAAGCAGTTAAATTAAAAATAATTGTGGCTAAATAAATATTATCAAACTAATTCTAAATGTGGCTAAATGAAAAGAATAATAATAAATTTTTTTTGTATATTAACCCTAATTATCTCTTTGAAATGAGTCGGCTTCCCAAATATCTCTATAAGCTCCAATTCTTTGAGTCGTTACGAGAATAATTCCGAGTTGAGGCTTATTGCAACACAACATTTAGCCACATTTCATCAAATTGTGATAAAATACTGAAATTAATATTTGTTCTTTTAAATGATATAAAATTATATTATTTTAGTCAAAATTACTTTATTTTGTAGTGAAAGAAATAGTTACACAATAGAAATTATGGTGGAAGAAAATGAGAGATTTTTTTTAATTTAAATATCAAATAAAAAAACAATAATTTTAACTAAAATGACAAACATTTTAGCCACTTGTTTGCAATGTGGCTAACTCGCATTTTTTAAGTGATTGTTTCCTTTTCGATGATCTCATATATGTGATTGCACTAATGGATAATTGATTGAATTAGTTTAATTAAATTTATATAAAATATGTAATAAATATAATATAATATTATAAAAAATAGACCTAATATGATTTTAATGTTAGGTCAAGAGTTTGATTCTTCAATAGAACCCCAACCGGTCAGGTCCGCATTTAACAAAATTGGCTACAAGATTATGAGTCCTTTATTATATAATATAATGGTAGAACACCAAAATTCAAAAAAAGGCTGCTCCAAGGCCATTAGAAGCTTTAATAAAAAATGGAGGGCAACCATATCAGACCAGCACTATGTCTTTTTCTGGTATCAACTCACACCTTAAAATTCGTTATTTTAAATGTTGTGACAGCCACGCCATTTTTGTCCTTTCTTGGGATGGGGTGTTGATGAAATGAAAGAAAATATAGACAACTATAGACATATTAATATAGAATAAGACTGGTTTTTAACAACTATAGTCATATTAATAATTTTTATAATAAATGACAGTGTAATTTATTTTAGAGTTTGTAAAACTTAAATAAAAAAACAAAAAGAAAGCAGAAAATAGAGACATGTGATATGATTTTGATCTATTTATTGATCTTGACAGCTACATGTTGGACAAAAAGCAAGTGACTAATCTGCCTGGAACTGACTTATTGAGAAACATTTAGCAAGAAACATTTATGTTCACGAAATAAATAAATCAAATTTATGTTCATTTATACTTCAGATCAGTGGTGGAACCTTGAATCCCACAAACATGATGGGAATTTGCTGATAATTAGAAGAAGAAAAAATAATGCAGTTCCAAATAATTTAAAAAGGATGTCTTTCGTTTGTTGCACCTTTGGTATTAAATTGTGTTAAATCTCAAAAAAAAAAAAATGGTTTCCCAAAGTATCTTTCGGCCTACAGCCGAATACTAATCATTTTGAGGCGAGAAAGCACATTAAGTGAGTAAACTTATTCCAACAAAATATTTTCCATACATACGGCCAGGGACCGAATCCCTATCAGCATGCTTAAGAAACTCAACTATCTACCAACTATGCTAAATCTCAATTTTTGATTATGACAAATATCTACATAAGTCATAAAAGCAAAGACGAAGTCCATGTTCATGAAAACCTATAGTGTTAAGTTCTTCACTTAACGTAGCAAATATTTCTTAAAACAGACTCATATATTTTAGAAAATAAAATCTTAAAAGCAAAACAAATTATTTTCACTCCATAAAGACATGTTCAATCAAAATTCCAATTAAATAATTATCAACACCATGGATAAAATTTCCCATTGAAATTTAGTAGTTCTCGGCCAGATAAACGCTAAAATTTTCAAAATAATCCTATCCATAAATCACTGATTTGATATCCATCAAATTAAAATAGAATTTTCAACTAATAAAATGGAAAGAATGAGAGGGTTTAGTCTATAACATGCACAACGTAGAGCAATGAGACTATTAAATACAGAAAGACAAAGATTGAGTGTCAGAGAAAATATGATATGAATTTGTAATTATTATAATAAAAATAGAAATATTTTTTCCTTTAATGTAGTTAAAAACTTAAAAATATTGTCATTTGAGCTTCTTTTATATATATATATATATATATATATATATATATATATATATATATATATATATATACGATAAAATTATTTCTACGGCCGATTTACATACAGCAATGACAGGTAAATGATTACGATTCTGCATATTTAATACTTTCATTTTTTGTATGATTATAATTCTTCATATTTAATGTTTTAATGTATATATATGGCAAATATTTGACAGCTGCACGTACAGCAGCTGCAAAAATGTAAACCCCTATATATATATGGAGAATGATATTGTAACAACCAACTAGTGTTACTACCAATTAATTTTCGTTAGATCGATTATATTGATCTAACAGTTATATTTATTTCCATCTTTGTATGGTTATGATTCACTCATATTTAATACTTTATATTTATTTTCACCTTTGTATGATTATGATTTTTCATATTTAATGCTTTCATATTAAATATGAAAAATCATAACCATACAGAGATAGAAATAAATATAACTGTTGGATCAACATAATTGATCTAACCGTGAAATTGATTGGTAGTAACACTAATTGGTTGTTACAATATATATATATATATATATATATATATATATATATATATATATATCTATATATATATATATATAGGATATTGTGACAACCAGTCAATCTCACCGTTAAATTAGGTTTTTGATCTAACGATCCAGATTTAATCCTTATATACACCCTCACTTCCCCTTCTCTCTCCCCTTTCTCTCTGATCATACTCTCTCTTTTCCCTTCTCTCTCATCACACTCTCTCTCTTCCCTTCTCTCTCATCATACTATCTACCACCGCCGCTGCGGCGCACTCCACTGCCGCCGTCGCGCCTCCCCCTCTAATTCACCGCCGCCACCACAGGAGGAAGGAGAATGTTCCCCCAGAGCAAAATACGAGCGTGCCCTTGAATTCTTCACCTTGCAATGAATCAAATGTCCTTCAGTCCAAACCCCTGTTGCCAGAAATTGCAGTTGATTCTAGTCTTTCAAACTGGTTGATTTCTCCTAATTATAATGTCTCCAAGATCACAATTCATTGTCAAAAGATTACTAACTGCTAGCAGGTTGATTGGTTAAAAAATACTTTTATTCGTATTAATTATTTTGTAACTAACTAAGCGTAAAATTTATTTTCAGACTACATTCGCATTATTCAATAAAAACTCGTAAATTCTACATTTGAACTCTTGGCAGTTGGCATGATAACATATATTTTGTAAGACTTCGTCAGTAGACTTCCTTTTTATACAAAATATAAATATACTTTCGTTCGCTTGAAGTCAGAAATTTAAGCAGTGGAAGTGGATATATACTATTTAAAGACCAACAGTAAATATGCTAATAATATTAGAGGGATCGTAAAAGGAATAGGCAAGACATGCAAAAACTCGCCGCATGATATCTTAAAATAAAATAAAACTAAAATTCCCAGCTAACTACTGCGCGTCAATTTTGAACAAACTAAGCATATCATTAAAAACGTAAAAGAATTTTTATTTTTATTTTTATTTTTGTTATTATCACATGGCAAATATCTTTAATAATAAATATTTTTATTATTTGGCATGTCTATTAAATTAATAAGTGGTTGTTATGGTTATGAGTCAAATACGAGGAACAAACAAGAAAAAAAACAATAAAGAAACAAAAGCAATTAGATCAATCGGTCAACAAATGATTCCTCCCCCCCTCTTTTTGGTATTTTCTATATTTCCAAGCTCCATTGATTACTGCCTTCGAGACAGACTTAAAAGGACCAAGTAAACTTATGTCTGACACATGCCATTTGGTTACTTCTCTTTTAATTATCTCCCACATTCTACCTTCTGTCATCACCCCACATCCTTAGTGGTATTTTTGATTCAAAAATTCTGTTATACTTGAAACATGGTACCCATGTTTGAAAAGGGAAAGTCCACCAGGATTCTCTTCATAATTCTTTGTGTCCTTCTAACACTGTTGTCACCCCAAGTTGCTTGTTTTTCCAAATTTGCTTCTTCAGCCTCTTTTACCACCACTATTACTGTTCATGATCAAGCTACAGCTGAAGACAGTGAATCAAATGCTCTGTTGAAGTGGAAAGACAGCCTTGACAATCACAGTCTCTTGTCAACTTGGACAGGTAATACTACTCCATGCAAATGGGAAGGAATTCAGTGTGACAAATCCAAGTCAGTCTCCAGCATAAATCTTGCAAATTATAGTCTAAAAGGTACACTCCAAACTCTCAAATTTTCCTCATTGCCCAACCTCCTCAGCCTAAATATCTACAATAACTTCTTTTATGGAACCATTCCCCAACAAATTGGTAACATGTCCAAAGTAAATGTTTTGAACTTTTCTGCAAATTCTTTTGATGGTTCCATCCCTAAAGAAATATGGACATTGAGGAGTTTGCGTAGGCTTGATCTTTCCATGTGCCAACTAAGTGGAGCAATTCCTAATTCCGTAGCAAACTTGTCCAACCTATCATTTCTAGATTTAGGAAACAACAATATTTTTGGCTCCATTCCTCCGGAGATTGGAAAATTGAACAACTTAGAGTATCTAAGTATTTCAAATAATAGCCTTTTTGGTTCCATTCCACGTGAAATCGGAATGTTGACAAACCTTAGGCTTATTCTTTTGTCATTGAACTCTCTCTCTGGTACCATCCCCAAAACAATTGGTAACATGAGCAGTTTAAATGCACTTTACCTTTCTAATAACACTCTTACTGGGCCAATCCCACCCTCCTTATGCAACATGTCTAACTTGACAATTCTCCATCTTTATCACAATAATCTTTCTGGATCAATCCCTGCTTCCATAGAAAATTTGGCCAATTTGGAAGAACTTGAACTTGATTACAACCATCTTTCTGGATCCATCCCTTACACCCTTGGAAACTTGACAAAGCTCACCTCATTATACTTGGGCTTTAATGATCTTTCTGGATCAATTCCTCCCTCTATAGGGAATCTGGTCAATTTGGATTTCCTCAGTCTCCAAGAAAACAATCTCTCTGGATCTATTCCTGACACATTTGGAAATTTGATAAGGCTCACTGTCCTGGAATTGGCCTCCAACAAACTTAGTGGTAGCATTCCACAGGTCTTGAATAACTTTACCAACTGGTATTCCTTGTTATTACACAATAATGATTTCATTGGCCACTTGCCACCTCAAATATGCTCTGGTGGGTCATTGACGTACTTCAGTGCTCAACACAACCGTTTAACGGGTCCAATACCAAGAAGCTTGAAGAACTGCTCCAGTATTCAAAGACTCATGCTTTGGGGAAACCAACTAGAAGGAGATATAGAGCAAGATTTTGGGTTATATCCGATATTGGAACATATTGATCTGAGTGACAATAAATTTTATGGCCACATTTCACCAAACTGGGGGAAGTGCCCTAATCTTAATACCTTCAAGATATCCAACAACAATATTTCTGGTGGTATACCTGTACAACTTGTTGAGGCAACCAACCTTGGCAGGCTTCACCTTTCATCCAATCACTTGATGGGAGATATTCCAAAGGAACTTGGGAGTTTGAAAAACTTAGAGGAACTCATCATCAGCAACAATCATTTTTCAGGAAACATTCCCACGGAATTAGGATTGCTGCAGAATCTTCTACAGTTGGAACTAGCAGGAAACGAGTTGAGTGGCACAATACCAGACCAAATTGTGGGGTTACCCAATTTACTGGAATTGAATTTGAGCAACAATCAATTAAAGGGAAGCATTCCCTTTGAGTTTAACAGATTACAACCTCTTGAGTCTCTTGATCTTAGCGGGAATTTGTTGAGTGGAACAATACCAACCGTTCTTGGACAATTGATCCGCTTGCAATGGTTGAATCTCTCACACAATAATCTTTCTGGCACCATTCCTTCAAGTTTTGACCAAATGTCAAGCTTGATTTCTGTCAACATATCATACAACCAGTTAGAAGGACCGCTTCCAAAAAACCAAGCCTTTCTTAAGGCTCCAATTGAATCATTGAAAAATAACAAAGGCTTGTGTGCTAACATAAAAGGCTTGGTTCTTTGTCCAACCAACAACAGTCGAAAGAGCAACAAAGTGATCCTAATAGTATTCCCTATTTTGGGAACTCTAGTGTTCTGTGTGGTGGGGCTTTTATTGTATATTCTGTGTCGCAGTAAGAGAAAGGAAGAAAGCCAGTCCAAAGAAGCACAAAGGGAAGTAGTCTTTTCCATCTGGAGTTATGATGGGAAAATCGTGTTCGAAAATATCATTGAAGCTACAGAGAATTTTCATGACAAATATCTAATTGGAGTGGGAAGTCAAGGATATGTTTACAAGGCTGTGTTGCCCACAGGCCTTGTTGTTGCTGTGAAAAAATTCCATTCAGTAACAGATGAGGATATGTCAGATAACAGTTCAAAGGCTTTTACTAGTGAGATTCAAGCTTTGACAGAAATAAGGCATCGTAATATTGTAAAGCTGTATGGATTTTGCTCACATTCACGGTTCTCATTTTCGGTTTATGATTTCTTGGAAAGGGGTAGCTTGGATCAGATACTAAACAATGACACACAAGCAAATGCATTTGATTGGGAAAAGAGGGTAAATGTTGTTAAAGGTGTGGCCACTGCTTTATCCTATATGCATCATGACTGTTCACCTCCTATAGTTCATCGTGACATATCAAGCAAGAATGTTCTCCTAGATCCTGAATATGAAGCCCATGTCGCTGACTTTGGTACAGCTAAGTTTCTAAAGCCTGGTTCACGTAGTTGGACCACATTTGCAGGCACCTTTGGTTATGCTGCTCCAGGTTAGTCCCCTTTCCCTCGTTTTTATAAATGGAAATGGTCACATATTTTTTCATTTATACCTCTTTTGAATATGACATGTGCCAAAGTGGTGTAAGCAAGTTATGTGCGTATATCAGAATCCATCATAAAATACAAGCCACTGTACTCGAATATTTATTATTGAAACCCACATTGATTTTTTGCATGGTATAACTTTTCAAAATTTATGTACTTATTTTTGCAGAGCTTGCACAGACAATGGAAGTGAATGAAAAATGTGATGTTTTCAGTTTTGGAGTACTTGCCTTGGAAATCATTATGGGAAAGCATCCGGGAGATCTCATTTCTTTATTTATGTCACCATCTACAGCACCAATGGCTAATGATTTGTTATTGATTGATATTATAGATCAAAGACCTCCTGAACCTACAAAACCAATTGATGGTGAGATGGTGTTGATTGCAAGGTTGGCATTTGCTTGCTTGAGTGAAAGTCCTAGTTCTCGACCAACCATGGATCAAGTATCTAAGATGCTTGTAATAGGAAAATCACCTTTATCTGACCAGTTTCCCATGATTAGACTAGGACAACTTTGCTAAATCATTCAACTACTCTTGTATTTTGCTTCCTTTTTATTCTTCACTGTGTCCCACCTCTCTTATATATTGTAAGCAAGCATGTTTAATTATATGTATCGCGTACATGGTTAAAATCATACTCTGTTCAAGTAAAAACAAAATTATTAAGAAAAATATAAAATACAATGAAGAGAGAATAACAAATAAAAAAGATAATGGAATGGATAATAAAATTAGAAGTAACAAGTATTCCTTGCATTGCATATTTATTTTTAGATTTAGATAAAATATTAAAATTGAATGAGAAGAAAAAATGTTTAAATTTATAAAGGAGATATGCATGTAGCTAACTTGGCAAGTATGCCGATCATACAAATAATAAAATTGTTCTCATGAACATTAGGGTGTGCATAACAAACATTCTGTTATCCAACACTATTTTTGGAAAAAAAATAATTCTTTGTTATTTCTATGCCTTAGAAGAGTTTTTGGGGAAAATATGCATTTGATTATGCATTTTAGTTTTATTTTGAAAAATAGAGTTACGTTTGATAACATAATACAAATCTAAACAAAAATATTAAACCAGAATTACCAAAAAAGAAACAAAAAAAATTTAAACCAAAACTAACATAGATATATTATGGTAAAATCATTTCTGCAGCCGCTTTATGTACAGCAACGACAGGTGTATGATGGTTATGATTCCCACATTTAATGTTTTCATCCTTTGTATGGTTATGATTCCTCGCATTTAATGTATTCAAGTATATATATGGCAAGAATTTGATTGCTGCACGTACAGCACCTGCAGAAATGTAAATCCTATATATTATATTAAAGCAGAACTCTCAAACAAAAAAGATGAAAGAATTTAAACAAAAAAAAGGTTCAAAATTAGTGTTCATTGTTCAATTCCCAAAACCAAAAGTGGTTTAACTCTCAGTTCGCCACTACGCGCAATAGGGGACTCTAGAGGTAATGGGAAATAAACAGAGAAAAATATATGGGAGATAAACACAAATGCACGAGAAATTTTGCAACTTTTTTCATAAGAAATATAACGAAGAGGGATGAGGGAGAAGATGAGGAAGAGGAACAATGTTTTGAAGAGATAGAGTCATAGAGAGAAGGAGAAGAGAAGAGAAGTTTACCTAATGGGTAGAAGACAGCCTGGTTGGAAATCGAAGATGGCAGAGGAGGCACGTATCAAAGAGTGAGAGAGAAGTATTTCTCTTTTTGTGCCCTGGAATAAAAAAGCAGAAAGAATTGCTTGCTTTTTTATTCCTAGGACAGAAATTAATCCGGTTCATTCTTAGGAACAAAAAAAATAAATTGGTTTCATCAAACGTTGTTTCTAACTATTTCTGTTACCCGGGATAAAAAATTTAAAAAAATTGATTCTGGAAAGATTGTCATATACACCCTTAGTGTTGCAAGCACTAATTCATTTTTTCGTTTAAGTTGGATAGATCAAATAAGATATTTAATTAAAATTAAAGAGCGATTCAAAACATAAAACAATATCAAGAACACAATAGCAAGAGTGTATACAATCAAGAACAATGCAATTAGGGATTTGATTTCCCTCGATCTTCACTTATGTACCTTGAGTTAAAACCTAATTAATTTTCCTTTTAATATTGTCATTCAATTCATCTATTTTAGCTAAAGCCCACTATCTTGGTGCCCTAACCCTTCACTCCCTTAAAGAATCCTAATTTCTTAGGAGGGTGTATTGGATTGAGATTTTAATGGATTATTTCTGGACAAAAAAATCCATTAGCATTCAATTAAGATTTTAAAGGATTGAAAAAAAGTCACATGGTATTTGATTAGAATTTTAAAAGATTATTTTAGTGTTCGTTCAAATCCGGTGATATTCTATCAGGATTTTAAATAAAGTGGTATTCAAAAATTTGACGATTTTAGTAGATTTTCTATTGGTGTAGATTTCGTGAGACTTTTTAGTAAAAAGTATAAATATGATGTCTCTTTCAATATATCACCCTAACTCCCTTGAGATTTCTCTATTGCAGTGCTTCTTCTTCCTTTGGCGGGTCGACTCGCTCAAAACCGGGTTCTGCTATAAGAGTTTCGTCAAAACTCAAAAACAACATATTTTTTAGCAATTTTCATCACCAAAACAACCCAGAAACACAACCCAACAATATTATAATCTAATCCATCTCAAAAATAACAAAATTTTTAGAGCTTTTGGAAGTTTAAAAAACAATATTTCAAGCTATGAGTTGCGATTTTTCTTGGCACAAAAGGTGTGATTTTTGTATTAATACAACATAAAACTGTGGAAAAACAACAGGTGAAGAAAAACTCTCAAACCAATTTTCGTTTTACATTAATGAAACGAGATCGATTTAAAGAAAGATTGAAACTTTCACAATATGAACCCTATGTTTCGTAACAATACATTTATGAATGAAATTCCTTCGCTATAAGAAACGATTTCAAATAATTTTTGTCTCAATAGATCAATAAAAACTTGTTTTTCAAAAGCCCCAAAGCAATTTAATGTTTCAATGTAACGATTGAATATAATTTGAGAAATTCTCTAAACCTTCATGTAATAAAACCCAAAAATTCAGATTCAAAATTTTCTTAGAATACTCAATGAAAATATGCATATGATAAATGGTTAGAGAACTCTCATCACGTATAACAAAAACCCTAATGTTTCCAAGATCAATAGAAAAAATTCCAAACGAAATTTTATATGAACTCTAGGTTTTATATGCAAATTTCGAATTATTATAATAAATAAAAAAGATTGTAGGTCCAATAATCATATATGTATAGCTCTGATACCAAATGAAGAAGATAATTTTCAACCCATTGATTAAACCCAAGAAGATGCTAATGTGTGGAGGGCTAGTATAAATATGTGGAGAGTTGCTGCTTAGTAGGACGTCAAGTTATGTCGAATTATTGATTGAGAAAATTATATTAGGTTTTACTTTTTTTATTAATATCATTGCATTTCTTTGTTATTTTTTTATTGACTCTGGTAATTTTGAATGTTAGTTAAAAATTCATGTTGTCCTTTCAAATCTTATAAATTTTATTAAAATCCAATCTTATAAAATCTTGATTGTCAAAAAAGTCTTTTAAAAAAGTATTTAAAATCACTACAATTCTAATTAGTCTTTTAAAATCTATAAAAAAAAAATTTATCTCAAAATAGTCTTTTAAAATGCTAATCCAATACACCTCTTTAGTGTTTCTTAAAATGGGTCAAACATTAAAAATAAGAATTATCAAGATCGCATAATTCATATGTTAATTCCTAGATTTATATAAACCAATGATGAGTTTAACATATCCAATTCACATACCAATATTTCTATTGTCATACATGAACCCTAAGATTTTAAAACTTAAACCCACTGGGTGCAAAACTAAAACCCAATTAGACAGCCCACATATCACTAGCCCTAAGGTTGTGTTTGGTTGGCGTAATCTGATGAGATAGATAGGCATTGGAGAAGTGGGATTGTGTTTGACCAAGTTTGGTTGAAGAGTTTTCAATATTTGCCGATCCAAATTACTCCCCTAACATTCCATTTTGCATGTCAATTGGACCCAAATAGATGGCTCAATATTCCCATTTCAGATGTGGTATTGGAGGTTGCCTAGCTAAATAGAGACATGGGGTTAAATGGAGACATGAAGACAGCACCCAAAGATGACGAACATACCCTCAGTGAAGGTAAAGGGTAGCATTGGTGAATCAAATTTTTTTAAAAACAAGGTTATTTTGGTAATTGTAACTTATTTTCTCATCAATATTTCACCTCAAATCAAACATAGACTTTATAAAATTTACCTAATTTTCCCGGTAATTTTTTTTTCAACCAAACAATTTTTTTTACATTTTTCTACCAAACTCGCTTTCCAACTATTTTCCTAATAATTACATTTCCCTAGTATTCAAAATTTTTCTCCTCAACCAAACACCCCCTAAGTGTGTTTGGTTTTTTACCGGGAAAGCCAAACCATTAGCTTTTGTTTTTTGTTTTAAAATAAAAAGATAAAAAAAAAACTTGTTAGGAAATGAATACTCTCAAAATAATAATTACTTTTTAGTTTTAAAAACTAAAAATTTGGTTTTCTTGTTTTCCGGTGACAATTTTATAATAATGAAAATTCATTAATGGCATTTTCATAAATAAAAACGTAAGTATTCTCATTTCTTAGTAGTTGTAATATTATTGTAATACAAATTGATTATATGTTGTTAATTGATTATCGAGTCTATCCTTTCTGTAATTCATGATAATGTTGCATCTTTATGGTTCATAATTTCTTCTATCCTTTCTGTGATTCATGATATAACAGGGTAGCTTATTCAATCCTCTGTCGTTTCACTATGTTCTCCCTCCTCTAAAAGTAATCAAAACTCATGACTCCTTGAGTAAAATAGATAAATGTACCGGAGCCAATATAACCAAATTACTTCTACCTTATTTCAAGTAACAGTTACACCAGAAAAATCATGGGAGAACTACTAAGAATAGACAGATGGGTAAAATGGAAGAAAATACTCTGTTAAAGATCATGCTTTTGGCAACAAAACCAACAAGAAATGGGCTATCCACTTTAACATGGAACTCAATTTGAAAGAGGTATGTATTAAACTTGAGGCATGGAATGCAGGACAAACAAATCAAACCAACATCAGCAGCAAAGGACCAGAATGAAACCAATAACAACACACTTGGACCTTCGGAAAAAATAATGATGAAAATTGAATAACAAACTCTCTCTTTCTCATGCCAGCATAGTTCCATTTCATGCATGAAAGATACACATGGATGAGTTCAAGTAAAATATTGATATGATTACAGGCAACCATGCGTATATTATATTAAGATCAATTTATTGGATCCTTGGTCTCTGAATGCACTAATCTATTGGCAATAATCGGATAATGGAGAAACATAAAAGAGCATTAAATATAAGGTAACTCATACCTCACTTCCCCATTCTGTTTTATCCTCATAACCGCAGCTGATAACATGAATTGCCTCCTTAAGAAGAGTTTCTGGAGTTGCAGACTGAGGAACACCCCCATTTTCCATAAGTGTAGAGGCAACAAATACAGCAGACTGACCAAACCTTTTCTCGAGGCTCATTTGTGACTTGAGTAGTGATTTCTCATCATCAAATCCAGCACCTGAATATAAATGTTGTTTAAGAAAAGAAAAGGGATACGCAATTAATACAACTCAAGATAAATTGCTGTGCAAAGTACACACCAAAAAATTCTAAAATGATTAGGAGAAATGTGCAGGGTTAATAAGGTAAATGCAATTTCACAGATGAGCCAGTCAATTTAAGATATTATGGGAAGTGAAGTTGAAGCTCCTACAAAATCTGGAAAGCAAGCTACTATACTCTTCTTTTTGGGAATGAAATAACAACATATCGAAGTCTTAATATAACTACTTATAGCAAAAATAGTTCAAATTATAGACGTATAAATAAAGGGAAATAATTATCTCATGTTGCATGAGATAATTATCTCATGCAACATGAGATAAATAGATCCCATAAATGAAATGCACACAGAAGGCAAGAAAAATAAAATCCACACGCATAGCTTCTACCCCTTCTTCTATATCCTCTAGACTGAAGATGGGCACATTTGGTTCAACATGCTTGCTAGATTTTTTTTCTTGTCTGAGCCTTTCTTGCTAGATTTTTAGCTCTTATTTGGATTTCCACGCAGAGTGAAGAAAGCAACCCAGGCTTCTTATGCTCGGGTTTGATTGGAGGCTCATAACCATATAAAGATGTTCTATTGAAGACAAATCCAGTACCCACATAAACAGGGCCTTGAATGCCATCAAAACTCTTAAATTTATCTGCATAGAAAGAGACAAGGGGAAAATACGTGTCACAAAGAAGTTAAATCAAATATATGTAAAGTACAAGGGATGATCCATGCCACAAGAAGTGGAATATCATTAACATAATTTTCTTTTGCCTGAAACATAACAGAAATTAATATGGTTCATTTCAAGATACTTACATCAAAGAAAACAGTATTACCATTGGCATATCAATCATTCCTATCAATACCATCAAACCTCTGTGGAAACTGGACATAGCAAACATTTTTCCCAAGGTAGGGATCCATCATAAAACACATAGCTTCCCTCAAGTAATTATATTTCAAGTAATAAAGATCATGTATTTAATACAATGTCATGATAGGAACGATTTTATTGGAATGAATTCCCCATCAAAAGTAACCACTGACAAGTGCTGAGGCATGGGGTCCATGGAAAATGTTAGAAAAGATTAACCTGCTACAGGATGATACTAATCATAAATATCACATACATAGAAGGATTTGAACTGCCTGTTCGGTTTCTCATCCTTGATGTTAGTAAATCAGCCATCTGCACTATATCAGGAAGAAATTTCAGAGCATGATAACTAACCCTGCATCTCAACTTGTTGATATCTGCTGGAAAATATTGTCATATCTGAAACAAGAAGCGAGATATCATGACAACATCAACTACATATAAAAAGTGGCATCTAGCATATAAGTCATCCTTGGCCTACCCCAACCTATCAACAAAAGGTTTCAGAGCCATGTAGTTCAATAATTAAGCAAACCTGAGTGCCACTGCAATGATGAAGGTAAGGGAAGCTGTAGTGTTGACCATGGAAGCAAAAGGGAACATCACAACTCCAGACACAGCATGCAAATAGGTTACATACACATGAGGCGACTCATCCCATGATTGAAGGAAGCTTCGGTGATAAAATATGAGGGGGTATAGGTCACCTGAGCAAAGACCATGAGCAGGTGTGGCTTGAACTCTCTGTGCATAAAAGCACGAGAAAAGCTGATAATTATTAAATAATATAAATTTAAGAGCATGGAAAGCAAGAATGATTGAGTTAAACAATAGATGTCATCCAAGCTTAATTTTCCAGGCCGGAAGCAAAATTCAATTAATACGAACATTTAGGGGGCGTTCGGTACATGATATACTTTTTTATGCCTGCAAATCACGATCTCCAAAAATGTGGTGGGAAAATCATTTTCTCGGAAATATTACCAAAAAATTGTTTGGTAGGCCAATATTATCGGAATTATGTTCCCAAAAAAGTGTAAAATTTTCCAAACACGTGGTATTCCAAGAACCAAGAATATCACCCCTTTGGTGGTATTCTTGGATAGTATTTTGGAAGAAAAATTGTACACAACAAAATCCCGGAAAAATCAGATTCCCGGAAAAAATTTCAAAAACCTTATACCAAACTTGGGTAAATAGGATTACCACTATCACTTTTCCGGAAATCTCAAAAAGCTCCCCTTACCAAACATCCCCTTAAGTATTTTTTATTTATTTAGAATAACATGTAAGTCATTTAATTCTGAAGTAATGTGAGCAAACATAAGTCATACAAGCGACGAAAAAAATATATTGGATTGAAATACAAGGAAAAAAACAAAAATATTTTTTCATTATTTTGATAAATTGCCAAGGTAGATTCTTAAACTTTGCCCTATATGCAAATTAAATTCCTAACTTTATGTATAAAATCCTTTTAATCAAGAGAAAAGTAACAAAATCAGTGAAAAATGTCAAATAACTTACACATGAGTGACATGACACCTTTAAAATATGTTCAAAGTTTAAACATTCAATAACACCATAATTAAGTTAAAAAGAAAAAGAAAAATAATCAAGTTAAAAAATAACACCATAATTAAACAAAGGAGAAAGTTAGAAGAGGAGAACGTGTTTGACAAACGTGTCTTGGAGAAAGTTAGAAGAGGAGAACGTGTTTGACAAACGTGTCTTTCTCAAATATTGAAAACCCTCGTGTCACAGAAGTGTAATGCATCGAACTACAACTTTCTCAAGAACCAAGCTTTCTCAACATATGCATATGCTAACACGAGGTGAGCGCTGAGTATCTTCCATTCATCATGATTTTACTCACATCATGCCAACAAAACTTAATCCACTTTATAACTGTAACTCCCAAATGTACTCAAAGAAAATTGAAAAATTATATTACGAATATACCATCAAGTAAATATTATTCCATGGATGGATTCATTAACCTAATATATACAGAATGAGTATCCTTAGAAGAATTTTAAATTTTAATTAACAAATTCTAAAAACTATCCTTTGCTTACCGAATAACACCCAAGAATGGGATTTCTATGCTCCAAGTGCGAAGGAATGGATTGCAAGCCTATTCCATCTTCAGCGTATTTGGAATCTGGAAAACAGTACTAATTTGGTAAAAGCAAAACATAACCATCAGATTCGTACAGGCACATTCAACCTAACAAACAGAAACACAAGGAAGAAACACCATACAGCCACGACAATTTGAATGAATGCAGCAACACGCAGCGAGATTAGAAGCACCAATTTACAAACTTCGTGAGATTGGCAGGCGCGTGATTGGCGCACTTAGCCATTGCTCATTTATCGATCGGCTTATTTCAAATTGGATGCTCACCTGGTTGGCAGTGTCAGGCGAGCAATGCCACACTCTCAGTTTGAGTGGCGTCGCTGAGATCTGCGCTACTCCTGAAGTTGCTCCCAACCTTCCGTTTGTGCCCCTTCCTCTCGGAGGGGCTCTGATCTTCGCGCCTCTAAAAGCTCCATGAATGAGAAGAACAGCCAGAGGAGGAGAAGAGGAAGGTTCTTGATTGCGTGTTTGCTCTCGTTAACAAAAAGGAGACAGAAATAGATTAGAGAAAGGGAGAGAGAATGGTTTTAAGATTTTGAAGAAATGAATTCAAAAATCGAAAGTAGTGAAATCGAAACCTAATATATGAAATGTTTGACTAAGTTAATCCATTTATAAAAAATAAATAGTTTGATATTAGAGGAGGGATATTCTAATTATCAAAATTTTCTACTACCAACTTACTATCTATCTAATCACCATTAGATTAACATTTTCTCTCTCTTCAAAAACTTTTTAACATTATCTCTCTTTAATCCAATGGTGATGTGATAGGTAGTAAATTAGTAGTAAGAGTTTTTGGTTGTTAGAATATCTTCACTCTTGGTCTTATTCGTTGGTATGTTAATTTTAACTTCACAGCAGAATCAAGAATCAACTTCATAAAAAATTCAAATTATGTTGTTAAAACAAAAGGTTAAATTACAAATTACCCTCCTTTACTTTAATTGTGTTTCAAAATACCCTCGTATACTTTCAATTAAAACAATTTACTTACTTGTACTTTTCAAAATCATCCATTAACCACGTCCGTTAAAATTCCATCCCATTTTGTTACATATTCCATCCCATTTTGTTAATGTAAGGTGAGTAGAACTAATTCATTGTCTTATTCCCTCCAAAGCCAAAATGAGAAAAACGATTTGTGTCCCTATAATAAGAAATTGGAGACATCCATAGGACGTAAATTAACCATTAAATTGCTTGATGCAGCAGCAGTAAGATATAGGAAAATGGCGTTACCCTACCTCCTGAAAAGTAATGCACTTTCTTGACAGAGTTTCTTCACTCTTTGAAGCTTCATATCAGAGACAAATTGTTCATCGTGATGGCGGTCATTCGGAAACCTGTTTCCATACCCAAAATTCTGCCTCTGAGGATAAGGTCCAGGACGAGAAAGAAGGCCAGCTCCTCTATCATTTTGAAACTGGGGCTGCCAACGACCACAGCCAAACCCCCCTCTACCCTGATTATTCGCATTGCAGATGGCAGACAATACTGCCAGAGAAAACGAATTAAGAAAGAAAATCAACGATGTCATTTTCTTTTATTCATTAACATTTTCCAACAGCTGCAACAATTCAGAAGCACCATGGTAGGATAGAAATCCTAAAATGCCTTGTAGATGCAGCGATGTACCATTACAACACAGTCTTTCACATGATGTTTAGTTATTAGGCATAGTTTTTCACCTTCTTATCCTAAAAGTTCATTACGTAACATCACCTTGCTTATTGTCTTCTTGAAAACCCACATCAAATTTTAACGGAGGTGGATTGAGGATGAGGTGTGAAAGATTGGTCACTTGATATTCTAACGGAGGTGGATGAAATTTTAACAGATATAGTTAATTGTTGAATGTTGAAAGTACAAGCATGTAAATTGGTTTAATTGAAAGTATAGGAGGGTATTTTGAAACACAACTAAAGTACAAGAGGGTAAATTGTAATTTAGCCAAACAAAAATCACAATTTCAACATTTAAACAGAATCATAAATCACAACAATAACAACTTATCAGAATCTACATTTACAATTTCAATGTTATGTAAGTTGACAAACAATTTGTAAATGTAGAAAACAAAAAAATAAGATTAAAGAATAGAAAGAAAAAAATAAGATTAAGAAAACTGTTGATTTTCATAAATCTAATAGTTATAATTTAATGAGAATTAATAATTAATTAATAAGTGAGACCCAATAAATTAAAACCGTTAGATTGGCAAAAATCAGCGGTTAATATTTGGTAGTAAAAGATAGTAAGAAAAAATAGTAAGTATAACTTCTTCCAAAATCCCTTTAATATATTTATATACACAATCTAACATGCTGAGATGTTGGTTCCTCCTACATAAGAAATAAAGTCAGATTTCTATTAAAATTTAATCGAATATAATTAAATTATAAAAGAATTTTAGTTGATTAAATTTATACCTTTTATTTTTTCTTCAAACCATACTTATTTTATTTTATTTAAAATAAATAGTATAATATAGGCCAGTTTGTAGGTTTATAGGTCAGGCCTTATAAAAGTGGGTCTACGGCCTATTTATTAAACAAACTTTTTTTAAAGTCCAAGCCCGACCTATTTTGCAAAATATACTAGGTCAGATCTGACCTGATGTAGACAGAGTTGTAGACCACTGTAGGTCGGGCCGACTCAGTTTCACCCCTAGTTAGAGGTGATGCATGCATGATATTGAGCTTAGGCTAAGTAGAAACGACAATTGATCATTTCATCTAAAATTTTTGTTTCTATCTCTCTCTTCAGATGCAATAAATAGGTGAGGTTAATTCATTATTAATAGAAAAAAGGATAGACACAAAAAATTTACATTACCAACTCATAATTTTAACATGAAATAATCCACTCCCAATAAAAACATAATTTGACATATGTGGCCTTTAGCTCTAGGGGCCTCGCCCCTATTCTTTAAGCACCTTTTCGGCTTCTGGAATGATTTAAATTTTCAGAATTTCTTTTATCGCATCCCACCTTATAATATTGGTGCAAGACCAACATTATTACTAATCAATTTCTTTACATTTCTAGTCAAGTTCATGATATTATTTTCAATTTACATTTCCTATACGTCATTTCATCTTCGAATTTAAATTCTTGTGAATTGCAAATCTTATCGTTTACTCTTTACACTCACTTCTTGTAATCTAAAATCCGACATTTACATTTTTAAAAGCATTTTGACGTCACAATTTTATTGGTATATACTTGGAAATCACTAGAGACAAAGATAATGTTACAAGCATGTTACGCATCAATTATTACAAAACACACATTACTAACTCCAAGGATATTTTTCATATGCGCCGAACTGTAATAGGACTTCTGACTATGTGCTTTCCATTTGTCCATCTCAATTCCCCAAACTGATAATTTCCCTGTTTAGTCACACTCCTTGCTTGCACAATCACATGGAATATCTTCTTTTCACCAATTTTCTTGAAACTCAAGGTATTTGGTACAACAACAATGTTATATCCAGGCAATTGGGCATTTGCAAAATATGTACTTGGTGTCCCAACGTTGGTGACCGTACGAGTAACGTTTACTGCATTTAACCCAAGATTTGGCAATGTGATTGAAGGGTAGTTCAAGTCTGTTATGCTCTGAGATCTTGAACAAACAAATGCCCTATTGAAATTAAGTGCGGAAATGAGTTGTTGGTCATAACCAGAAGCACATAAGAAGTTCAAGTAATCAGTAAGGCCTAGATCATAAACAAGTCCAGGATCTACAGCAAGGTCAGGTTGAACATGTCCTGAACCATAAGAGAATGGAGTTGCTGATGTATTCTCAAATGCATCCCTAATTGGTCTGTTGGTGTTATCTAGTGTGGTTGCTGCAACCATATATATTTCATTAAGTTAGAAATCTTGGTCAAAAAATTAGACATGCATATATTATATATCATAATGTTAAACATTTTCTAATATATATATTGGGAAATGATCTGTTTACAAATTTTTTTTGCAATTTTTTGCAAATTACACTATGTACTTCCGGGAAAACATAGTGTAACCTAGTATTCTCTGGGGTGTACATAGTGTAGTTTGTAAGAGTTTGTAAACAAAAAGTTTGTAAATATAACCATCCCCTATATATATATAAATATAAGTACCTGAGGTCATGATTGCTGATTTAATAGCTGCAGGACTCCAACTAGGATGAAGTGTTTTGAGAAGTCCAGCAATGCCAGCAATATGAGGGCAAGACATAGAAGTTCCTTGGAGTACATTGAATGGAAATCCTCGACGAGTGTCTGATGGTAGGTCAGATGCACTTGCGGCAGGTGAATAGGCAGCAAGTATGTTCACACCAGGTGCAGTTATATCAGGCTGAAACAAATAACAAAAGCAGTCATTTTAAAATAAAGAGACAAATAACAAGTTATATATAGTTGAAGATAAGAAAATCCAAGTGTAGAGACCTTGAGTATTGATGGCTGAATCTTATTGGGTCCTCTAGATGAGAATGAAGCCATAACTGGAGCTGGCTTTCTTCTATTGAAAGTTTTTGCTGGGGACATCCTTATTGTAGTAAACGAGCTTATTGTAGAGTCCCTGCTTAATATAAATATAGTGTGTAAATAGAGCTCCATCTTCATTTGTAAAATGTCATTTAAAAAATGTAACAATTTTAGAAGCTGCATGGTGTACGAGAAGGATATAATTACGTGGCAGTTAAGTCAAAACCACTTGGCCTTGTTGGATTACGACCCTTTGCATAGTTGACAGTAGATAAAACATGAGGTTCAGAAAGAAGTGTATTCCCATTTTGCTTTTGATTTTCCAAAATCATTCCCTGTGCGCCTGCAGAGAGAGCTTCCTGACCCTCAGCAACTGATTTTATTTTTCCTTCTCGAAGGCATCTCACTATTTTTCCCTTTACTTTTGCAGGATCAAGTGTTCCAGCCTTACAAAGTTGACTACAACAATATAAGACACAGTCATTTAATTAATAAACAAGGTATTCCGAATCAAAGCTTGTGAGATTATTTGTACTTACGCATCACGTTTTGTTGCATTGGCAAGTTTAGCATCAGCAGCAAGGATCAGAGTAAAGGACTGGTTAGGTGGTATGTTTACAAAAAGACTGGCTCCCTGGTAATAGAAAAAATAAAAACAATTATATTTCAACACTAATTATATTTATAATAAAATGGACTAATAAAATTAATAATAATAAGAAGGGTGATACCGTGATTTGTTGATTGTTACCAAAAGTTAAAGTACTACTAATGTCCCTATCTATTGTGCTAGCAGCAACTGTGAATACCCACGGAGCCACATTCAAAACAGTTCCAGGTGTTGGTCCTTCATTTCCTGCAGATGCAACTAATAGTATATTTCTAGCAAGTGCATGGAATGCCCCTATAGAAATTTCATCTGTAAATATTTCTTCAGGACTAATACTAGCTCTGCCTCCAGCGGAAATGGATATCACATCAACACCATCACTAATGGCTTGGTCAATAGCAGCTAACACATCCGCACCAAAGCAGC